TAGAGGATTATATGGGAATCGCGTGACTCCATTCACTAGCAAATTGCAGTTCTCTCAAATGGCAGATTTGTCAAAAATGCCAAATGGACGGGACAACCGAATGGCACCTTTCGCCACTCCGCAATCGTTAAGTATGAACGCGGGTTAAGGCCCATGATGGCTATGCGACGTCACTTGTAACATTTTTGCCGTGCAACCTCAACTCGAACTCACACCCATGTTTAGGATGTTTTTACATTTGAGAAATTTTAAATACGAGTTACATGTAGGAGCTTCATATCGATTATGTGCGCTTATTCTCAGGATAATTGGCGATATCTACCCTTTACTGGCCCAGTTTTCGAAGTTCCGGTGAGAGCTTCGATTTGTCGGGAAGTTACGGTGGTTCGATCCCTGAACACTTTACATCCGTTCGGCACGAAACAGCCTAGCTGTGTCCTAGATACCAGCGCCATTACTTGGGTTAACCGCATATAATCCGCAGATCAAAAAAATGAAACAGATATGAGAACTCACCTATTCCTATCATTGCCATGGCTATTATGAACGTCAGAGCATAGGCTCGCCTTGGTTCTTCATTTTTTCCATACCCTTTGGCGAAATACCCTATTTTCGGAAACAACCTGTCCTTGCATACAGCCTAAACTAACTTTGTTGAGAAAACAAAACGTAGACGATTAGTATGATGAAACAGCATAGGATTCAGTTCGGGGTCGGTGACCCAGTTTGACATTCAGAAGCAGCCCTTCGAGCAGAAATGGGATCACTTTCACTGACGTTAAGCACTGGACCAGGGAACAGGATCGTTGTCCTATCAAGGAGGAGGGGGGGGGCGCTTAATTGTTATTGGAGGGAAGTCATATTTGAGCCTGGTGAAACTTTTTAGAGTACTGAAAAAATTTCCCGGTACTTGAATTTTACCGTTTCGTGTGGTTGCCGCTCTCTGCTCGACGGTAGTTTTCCAGAGGGAAACTGGGAAAAATTTCCAGAAAAATAGTAAAGAATCGAAGAAGTTCGGTAGGAGCGTAGTTAGGTTAGGAGAGGGAATCGTAATGGGAAAGAAACTTCGAGTGGCCATACTCACATCACCATTTCACCCATCTGGATGCTGTACCCTGACTGGGACTGATGAATTGAAACTCGAGCAGAAGAAGCACCAGGTTGGGGAGCCCCAACACGGGAAGAGCTTGAGACTGGTGAGGTTCCAAGCAAAGAAGCATAGGCTTGAATGACTTCTCTCATAATGATGAATTTATTTCAGCAAAAATCCCAGTAAAGAAACATTTTGTGAAAAGTAGCTAGGTGATTACGCGAAATATGTATGTAACATCTGCAACCATTCTAGAGGAGTGAATTAGAAGAAAGTACTGGAACGGTAAGGGAGCACTTCTGAGGTGAGAGGGACACTTCAGGAGCACTCTATATGAAGAGCTCGAAGACACACCTGAAATACTTTGGGAGCGCTGACAAGACTTGCGAGAGCTGAACTGAGAGTGGCTGCAAAGATTCCTGCAGTGATCAAAGGTCCCCAGAAAGATTCCATTTCCATGATCTGTAAAAGCGCATAAATATTTTTCAAAATCAACACATATGTCGTTTGAATATATGTGGTTGGAAATGTCCAAAGCATGAAAATCACTAACCTGGAAATAATTCATCAGTCCATAAGGACATGTGTTGTTTGCTGCACAGTCTGGTGGTTTGAAAACTGTTCCATTCCACATAGGAGGGTTAATACCGTCTGCATCTCTGAAATCTCCACCAAGCAGTTCATATAAACAAACAAGCTGCACTCTTCAAATTCTTGGAGACAAACTGTAGTGTACGCCGTGAATACTAGCCCTGAGGATGTGAGAGGTGAATGGGTCCGTAGCCGCAGTGACATGTAAATTCCCCGCTCCAAAGTGTACAGGAACGGAACTGGAGGGTGTGATACCCGGTGCCTTCTTATACTCCACACGCTTTTGCCTTAAGTTTAGAGGCGATACGTGGCCGGCCGCTCGGAAGCGCGAGGCGGAGAGGGGAGTTCGCATGTCGCTACCCTACCACCCCCTCCCGAGCGGAGACAGTGGCAAGCTTTTGTAGCTGTGTACTCGTCAACACCAGACATGGCAAGGACCAGGATCCACGGAGATGAATGGAGAGATTGTTTTTACCTCCCTAGTTTCCGAGGATTGGGACCGCAACTATACCGCTTCGCCGAACAAATGAATAACCCATTTCATTAACTTTATGACAAAATATTTGCTGATTAAGGCCGATCGCGCTTACATGCCTTGCGATTACGGCGATTCTTATTGAATTGGTGACTCGGAAAAACACGCGAAAAGGAAATTCACAGTCTTGCTCGCTGCAGACGCAGGGTCATGTCAGGGGATCGGGTTTTGAATCGGGATAGTCGCCGCTCAAAAGAAACAGAATTGATTATCGGATTCTCCAGAACTACGACTTTACCATCCTCTTCACGCACTTTGCCAAGTCAGGAATGCACCACATTTGCACGGTAGGTACTCTCTTTTTTGCATTGCATGAATGCGGACGCTGCTCGGCTTAGGAGGGGCATTTTGCACTTTTCTTCACTTCTTTCGCTAGTTCCTGCTCGCCAACACGCTCCAACTTGGTGAAACCTGCGGAGTCTTGTCGAGTGTAAACGAAGCTCTTGCTATTGCATAGCTTCACAGGAATTTACAGGGCGGAGAAAAGTGATCGATGAGAACTAGCAAAAAACCGAACTGCGACTGCAGCCAGTCTTATTGACCGTGAGAAAACAGAGTTGGTCATACACTTGCCTGACTGCCTGTGCCGACGACTCACTTTACTAAATCATAAATCACATTCAGATTTCTTACATGATGCAAGACAGAACCATGTTTCATACTGTTGTGAGGGTGATACTAGATCACTGGTATCCCTGATCAACATCCTACACTGGTCGGTATATAAGACCAGTCTTCGAGGAATTGGTTCAATTACATTATTTGCTCATCGCTTCGGATTAATCTATCAACCTGGTCCTACGGTCCTTGCCATATTTCAAGGATTACAACAAGTGTGCGAATCAGGGAGTTGCCGAAGCTTGCTGATGTTCCGCGTATTTATTCGTGAAAGTTGTAGTAAAACAGCCAACGCCGACGGAGGGCGCAGTCATTGCCGAAGTCAACGTCGTTGGAAAGTATCAAACCCATCAAACGATCACCGTGGACCGCGAAATCGCCTTCAGCAGACACCCTAGTTGCCAACCTGAAAAAGAAGTTGCGCAAATCTATTGGACCTGGTCTCGGACGTTGCCACGGGTAGGCGAAAGCAACTCGCAGAAACCAGACGCCGCTACCTGTATTCAAAAAGAAAACGCCCTGCTATGCTATATGCGCCAAATGTTGAAGCCACGATGATAGGGAAAATCGACCATCTACTAGCCAGAAACGTGCTCTCCCCTTCACCTACTAATATAGGAGGGCAGCACCTATCGTCGTAGTAAAGAAGGCAAACGGAACTATTTGCCTATGTGCCGACTATTCCACAGGCCAAACGGGCGCGCTTATGCTGCACCAGCACCCACTGCCTACACCTGAGGATATTTTCACAAAACTCAATGGTGGGACGGTATTCACACAGATCGACTTTGCCGATGCCTACTTGCAAGTGGAAGTCGACGATGCCTCAAAAGAACTTCTGACGATCAACACCCACCGAGGACTATTTGCCTACAATCGTCTACCATTTCGGAGTTAAATCTGCTCCGGGCACCTTTCAGCGAAGATTCCACGATTGCTGAATTGAATGGGTGTGTCGCTACCTAGACGACGTAATCGTTAGTGGTCGCACTAAAGAGGAGCATAGCGCCAACTTGGAAGTCCATTTCGAAAGAATCACAAATTCGGCTTCCGCGTCCGCATCGAGAAGTGCAGTTTCCTGATGCCTCAGATCCGTTACCTAGGCAATATCATCGATGCAAATGGACGCCATCCTGACCCTGCGAAGACAGAGGTTATCAAAAAGATGCCACCTCCCAAGGATATCACACAAGTACGATCGTTTCTGGGATTACTCAACTACTATGGAGCCTTTGTCGAACAAATGCGCCAGATTCGCGCGCCATTGGACAAGCTACTCAAAAAGGATGTACCGTTCAACTGGTCACCAGACTGCCAACAAGCCTTCGATCGTGCCAAAGAGGTCCTGTCGTCAGATCTACTGCTCACTCATTATGACCCTCTAAGGAAATAATCGTTGCGGCTGATGCTTCCGAATATGGGATAGGAGCAGTAATATCACATCGTTTCTCGAATGGAACGGAGAAGCCAATCTACCATGCTTGCCGCACCCTCACAGCTGCAGAGAAGAACTATGGACAAGTGGAGAAAGAAGGACTCGCCCTTGTATTCGCAGTCCGAAAATTCCATCGCTACCTCCACGGACGCCCTTTCAAGCTTTTGACGGATCACAAGCCACTCCTTACAATATTTGGAAGTAAAAAGGGCATTCCTGTCTATACAGCAAATCGACTCCAAAGATGGTCACTCATCCTGCTCAACTACAACTTCACGATTGAATACCGGAACCACCAGCAACTTCGGACAAGCCGACGCACTATCCCGGCTCATTGCCGAACAGCCAACGCCGATGGAGGATACAGTCATTGCCGAAATCAACGTGGATGCTGTAAATCTGTTCTCGCAGACATCCACAAAACTCCCAACAACCGCAGACACTGTCGCTGAAGAAACGCTCAAGGATTCACAATTGAGAGAAGTTCTTCAATGCGTTCAAACTGGAAAATGGCCGAAGAAACCAAAGAATCACTTAATTCGATTCAACTCGATGCGCAATAGTCTCACGACTCACAGAGGATGCTTACTATTCGGAGATCGTGTCATCATCCCTGATAGTCTACAAGCCGCTGTTCTCTCAGACCTTACATAATGGTCATCCTGGGATTTCAAGGATGAAAATGCTGGCTAGAGACTATTGCTACTGGACACACATCGACAAGGATATCGAAGACATCGAAGAAAAGCCAAGAACCCCATCAAGACTACACCTTTCCTCGTGGCCTACAGAAGAGAAGCCATGGAACCGCGTTCATGCAGACTTTGCAGGACCAGTTGATGGAAGAATGTTTCTTGTACTCGTAGGACGCCTGCTCAAAGTGGCCAGAGATTATTGAAACGTCATCCACGACATCTCGCTCAACAATCAAGGAACTCCAACGATTATTCTCACAATTTGGCTACCCGGAAACTTTCGTCACTGACAACGGAACATCATTCACGTCAAAAGAATTCAAGGAATTCTGTTCGCAGAATGGAATCAAACATGTTCGTTCACCACCATTTCACCCACAATCCAATGGCCAAGCTGAACGCTTCGTAGATACATTCAATGGACCCTTCAGAAACTCAAAGGGGAAGGAACGACACAAGAAGCTTTACAAATATTCCTGTTCAACTACCGCAGAACACCATGCCCAACATTGTGCGGACTGTCACCAGCCGAAGTTTTTCTCGGAAGACGTTTACGCTCTACGCTCACATTGCTGAAACCGTCGGAATCAAGGTCAGAACCGAGAAGAAATCAGAAAATGGAAGCTCAATTCAACGTTCATCACGGAGCAAAGCCAAGAAGGTTCAAGCCTGGTGATTATGTCTGGATTCGCGATTACCTTGCTGGATACCCGAGGTGACAAGGCCGAGTGGAACTTCAACATGGACAGTGTCTACAGGGGGGGGGGGGGCAAAAAAAGTCACTTCGACCGAGTCACATATCAGCAAAGTTTTCGCAGCCCAGAGAGAAGACGTGGATACGAGTACCAGGGCGGAAGATACCCAAGATGTTCCTCGATAAGCAGGAGCTGGCCCTCGCCCCTTCATGTACACCAAAATATGAGGTCATCTCCAGTCGCAGCCTGACTGGAGAAGACCTTTGGAATTCATGTCACCTCCAAACAGCTGCGAAACTTCTAGTGTGGAGTCACCCATGGGTAGCTACCTGGAGACCAGTACTCTCGATCTGGAAGACCTCCAACATCGAGCAGCTCCGACGACGTCGCGGTCTAGGACATCATCTTCACGGCAGTCGTCCAAGGCGCGGGTTGATGGTATGGACCGGACGCACCTGGAATGGAAAGACCAATATTTTTTTCGTGGACCCCGGATGAACGTGGGCGCTGGCGTAACATCGACCAACTCAAGCGAAATTCCCACATGTCGCCGCCCCGTACCTTCTTGGAAACTTTGTACTGCTACAGCATTGGGTGCCACCACGTGGAATCGAAGGGCGTTGGAGAAACTCTCGCCTACCTGGAATGGAAGGGGGCTGAGTACCTAAAGAAGATGGAATATCTAAGTAGGTCACCTGAACCTGAATCCCCTCAATTACCCGGTCCGGGCGAAGTTCAATAGGTGGTCTACGGTGGCGGAGAAATCGACTATCTCGCTGATCTCAGGACCACATCGCGGTTGCGTGCCAGAATCTCTCGATGGCGCTCGTCCAGAAGGCTGTGGCGGAGTGTCTATAGTATTTAATATGCTCTTAAAATGTCCGATCAGAATTTATAAAGTGTAACTTATAGCGCCTCGAAAGTCAATGAAGAAAAGTGACTTTTTTTGGCCCCCGCTGTATATGATGTTCAAGTCGGCGATCAACTCTGGAGAAGACACGCCAATCAACTGCGGCCCAGTACCTGCCCAGCAAATACGACATCGCTTACGGATGCATTCGATTTGCCGCTGCTTCCACGTCTGGACGCCAAGGAACCCATACAAGAAGACGATGCTGTGTCGAACAGGGACCAACTGCCGATCCAAGATGCCGATCCGCCTGCTCCACCCGCTCGACAGAAACGGTCAAGACGTCCGCCAGTTCGATTGCAAATCAATCCGAAGAAGAAGACATACACATCTAATGTTTGTCTTAGGAGGGAGGTGTTGTGAGGGTGATACTAGATCACTGTATCCCTCATCAACATCCTACACTGCTCGGTATATAAGAGTATGGTCCATCCTATTATTGCTCATCGTTTCGGAATAAACCTATTCAACCTCGTCGTACGCGTCCTGTACATTTCAAGGATTACAACAATACAGTACCACCTATCTCGATTTAAACTGCACTTTCGCATGAGCGCAGTGCTTGCAGTTGCAACGGTGCTTTTACAAAAAGCTTACATCGCTCTCCACACGGACAATGATGAATTAGAATTTTCATAAAAGAACTTTATGGGTCGCCGGCAAGAACTAGGTTCTCAAACACGTGATGAGACGATAAGGAAACAAGTTCGTCCAATAAGCACAAACCACAACAAGCAGAGAACGAAAGTGGGACCGTTGCCTTAGGATCAGGGCACACCATCGCGTTGTGATCAATTCCGAGAAATACAAGCCCCCCCCCTCCTCATTCTACTCACCATTTTCCTAGATTTTTTGAACTCCCCACTTTTTTCTCAAAAAAATTTCCGGTCTTCCCCGAAAATTTTGCTGTCGAGCGGGGGTGGGGAG